GATGTAGGTTCAACAAACTATCGCATACAAACCGTCACCGTCGCCATAAGGTTCTTGATATTAATATACGAAAAGTGTACATTTTATCTGTCATAAGTTGAATTTTCATATCCTTAAAGATTAATTGTCCTCAGAAAAAAAAATAATAGCCTATCTAAAAATCATGTGTTTTCTTAATTTTTATCACTTAAGCGGTATAAAAATATGGGTAAACAATTTTTAAAATCCAATAATTTCTATGTTCAAGTTTTATTTTACTTCAAAACAGTAAAAATCAATTAAAAATTTTTGTTTATTCAGATTTGTCTTATTATTACATCAGAGATTAGTGTTGGAGTGCGCCCTCAATCCTCATTAAATTTTAACTAAACGAACCGGCTAAATATCCACTGACTTAAAATTTTCATTCACAGTACTTGAGTGGTCCATGGAGTTATAAAATTAGTGGTCGATGCTGTCCTCGTTTATACATCAGGACTACGTAATTTAATTATTCGAATGTAACATATTTATAATTATATATTAATAATATGTAAGTTCTTTATCCCAAGAAATCTTACATTTTATATTAATTTCACATTTAAATGGTGTGACAAATATATTTATATCCTTTTATATTTATGGTTGATGTATAATTTTTAAGATACTTTTGACATTACATTAAAGTTAAGAATTGTCTGTGAATTTAATTGATTTCTGACAACTTGAAAATTCCTTTTTGTTTTTGTATTTTATAAACAGAAAAATAAAGTTCATTCTTAATCATAGGCCCTGATATAGGCAGCTTCTGTATTTGAATAATATACAGAATATTGATTACAACGTAAATAATTGCTGAACACAAGTGCCTTGTGGAGAGGCGACGAAAAGGGTTCGCATGAGCTGTAGGTCGAATGCTAGATTATATATTTTCAAAGCCGTTTGGTTGACTGAATATGTACTGAGTCTACACTGTGATACAACCATAAGGCAAATTCCATTTCAGGGGATTACAGTCTGACATTGTTAATTCCTTATTTTAAGGAGGTACATGGACCGTATCGTTGACCTTCAAGTCATGAGAAATTTCTTGTTTTTCTCCTTTTTTTTTTTGTTTATCAGAGCTAAAGACTCACGTTACTGGATTAACAGTTTATAGGATCTGGTTTTTTTTTTTTTTTTAATTATTATTTAAGAGTTTAGCCCGGGTAATACTATGAGGTTGACATTTCATATTCAGGTGTTAGGTCACATTTAGGCCTAATTTGGGTTAGGCCTTATATGTAATAAGCCCCATGGTATCGTACAATTGACTTTATTCTCTTTCTTGCTCCTTTCTGGCTAATACGCATCGAAGCGAGTCCTCCACCTAATTCCTCTTCACTTTCCAAGTTCCATGTGCTTCGTTTCTTACCGTTTGAGTTTTCCCTGATCCAAACTGGAATCGCTACCCATCTTCATGCTCTCTTATGCCGCTGCCACCTCCAGTTTGTCTCATTATACCTCCTTGTTCAGACTTCTAATGAAATTTGCTTTCTGAATAGGAACGATTTTCATAATACATTTTATTGATTAATCTAGTGGTACGTCCCGTCTGGCCCGTTAAGTGGTCATACACACTTCAAAATTACACCAAAAGTGGATTGCTTAATTTGCATATTTCAATAAGGTATTAAAAATCGGAACCCCTTGGGTAGTGTTGCCTCTCGATCGGTCCTCCTTTCGCCCCGCCCTCACCTCCCTCTTTCGGATATATCTGGATCCGCCACTGACCAATACGTTCGTTCAAGAAGTATTTTAAAAAAATACCACCCTATACAGCGAGTAAGATTTTTTATCATCGTCTTTAAAAATGCGACTGATTTTTTCGACCTGTGACTTATTAATGTTGAAACTATGTAGTTCTTTTAAACGAGCAATTTAAAATTAATTTTTAATTTTTGAGGTTTTCCATTTTTAACGTGCCAGCAAGCATATTTTACCATGAATTTACAATTAACCGGAATTAGCTGCTCTGACCTTTAAATATCCTTGACCTCAGTGGCGATTGAAGTCATCAGAAGGTTACGGTAGGCCTCCTAATGATTATGTGTCGAAATACGTCAAAGACAGGGCCCGCATACACACACATATTATGATACTGATTATGTGAACATCCATCTGTATATATAATATATTATATACAGTATATACAATATATGTACAGTACTGTAGGTCTACTGTATGTAATGTACCGTATCTAATAATAAATACCGGTATATAAATTACACATACAGCCGTTTGTATATGTATATATAACTGTATGAATATATATATATATATATATATGTATATATATATATATATATGTATGAAT